ATGCATTTTTCTTAATAATTAATAACTCTTTTAAAAAATAATAATACATCAGACAATTGTTATTTTTGCCTTCAAATGAGCCATACTCGAAMATTTTACGCCAAGACAACTACCCGGACCTTTTGCCCTCCCACTTTAACTCGATACTGTTTACGCCGTAAACTTTTATACAATACATCAATACATGTAAATTMAATATTTTAGGAAATAGATTTTGAAAAGATATTAAATATTTAAAAAAACAAAACAAAAAGCAATTTCAAATTTACAAATTAGTATCCATCGGTGATTATTGAAGTTGGCTGGTAGATTGACGTTTCCCTAAAACATACAATTTTAAAATTTAAATAACAACATCCAACATCTTTAGACATAATCCATACTTAATTACTTAATCTAATTCAATTAACAAAAGTTATTATATATTAGGTACATAGGCSGATAGGCCTACCGGGCAACCKGGCATTTTCCGGTGGGCCCCCCTTCGTAYCTATTTCGGTCATGGGGCCCTTTAATACCATATATTATTACATTTTTTTTCACGTGGTGGCCTCTTTTTAAAATTTTCCGGTAGGCCAGAAATGGCCTATCCACCCATGATTAGGTACATTATACTTGATTGTATTTTTTTTTTAAACTTTGTAAGTTTTTARAAACTTAAGTCAGTATAAACTATACAATATTTTAAAAGTTATATAATGACAAAAATTATAGATTTGGATTATAATCGTTATTATTTAGTAGTTAAAACTTAAAATATATATATATTCCGTGTGCTTTAAAATAATTAGGTGGCAGAGTAAAATGAATAAAATAAATAAAATAAAATGAAATCTTTGTGCATTTTACAATTAAATATTACCTATATAATCCATTTAAAAAAATGTAGTTATTGCTAAAAACCACTGGTGTCAATATCTTTTATGATACAATAAAAAGAATCAATAAATTATATTATGTTTAATTTTAGTCTGAAGTATTCATTGGATGGTTTTCCTTATCATGCCGTTATATAATTTATATTGATACTTTACTCATTGCGTTATGTTGTTAATACAAATTGTAAATTTTTTAATGAAAAAAAAAATTGTTGGTGGTTTTTTCATAAATTATTTATATATTTTATTATATTATCATAGTGTCATTTCATACCTATTGGCTATTACATTTAATATGTRAGTAATTGTATAAGATTCAGATTTCAGAAGCAATGTTTCTTTGACCGATGATTCATTGTAGAAATACCTATATCTGGGTATATATTAGATACATTTCTCAATGACAAATAATTTCAATAATAGAATGATTACCTAACATTTACAATATTAATATTTTCTCTTTTATTTTACGTTATTATTAAAATGATTTGTAGGTATATAATATAAATATGAAAATATAACAACATACACATATAAATGCATTATTCAGGAGTAATTTATAAGCTATTACGAAGCCACGTAGGTATACTTAGTCACTTAAGTGTTAGGTGGATCGATGCTTGACCTATTGTGTATCAACAAGAAATATTTAGTAGACTGCAGTAAATCTATCTATTTTTGTAAATACATTAAGTACCTCATCAGTAATACGAATAAATTAATATGTAATAATTAATTATCACCACTCACAAGTCATAACTTACTAATTAACTAATTAATTATAAATTTCCCAGATTTCTGTGAGACATAAATAGTACAATATGATTAATATGTACA